TGGGTGTCAGTTATGGTCTCTTTGGGATATATTCCCAGTAGTGGAATTGCTGGGTCAAATGGTATCTCTATTTGCAACTTTTTGAGAAAGCGCCATACAGCCTTCCACAGTGGTTGCACCATTTTACATTCCCACCAACAATGAATAAGAGTGTATTTTACTTCTTAACCTTGAGGCAGAAATATTATGAACATCTGTTTCTTTGTTTCCCCTCAGAGCCACCAACCCATCTTTTAAGGAGGTGCTGTCCCGCATCGAGACCCACAAAGACTGCAGGAACCTCCCCATGATCTCCTTCCTCATTCTCCCCATGCAGAGGGTGACCCGCCTGCCCTTGCTGATGGACGTAAGATAAAACCTGATGGCTGCTTCTCCTGTCCATTGTTGTACTGCTATAAATCTAAGACGGTTACTATTATTCTTCTGAAGTCAACAGATACCTAGTTCATGAAGTATCCCAGCTCAGTAAGAAAGGGCCATGTACTTGGAGAGGTGCTGAATGGAGCTCTCAGTGTGCGATCTGCTGACTTCAGGATTCAAACCTGTCCTGCACCTCTGCAGAAGAGAGGCTCCACGAACTGCTGCTTTAATGATTACGGCCAAGAACACCCCACGGAGCAGTTCTGCTCCATATCTCAGGGGGTCACCACGAGTCCAGCAGCCAGCATGACGGGAGGGGTGCTGTTTGGTTGAAAGTTTCACCTGTGTCTGATTTAGTTGACCGTATGCTGTGTGGCATAAACTCTTAAGATTTTAAATTCTATCACCACTTGCTCTGCATATTTTAGATATGGGAAGAATACTGGCTTTATATAAGTCATGAGGCCTGGATTCCATTTCCAGCAGAACTCATGACCTTGGGCAAGTGACTCAGACTCTTCTGGGCCTCAGTTTTCTCCGGTTGGCCCCTGAGATCCCTCTCTCTGGCATGTTATGTGATACTGTGGGGCTGCCATTTGACACAAGAATGAAAAACTGAGCAGGACAGACATGAACTTGGCCCATGATACATTGTACAAAATGAGAGAAGTCTATTGTCTTTCTGACTTTAGGGAATTTTCATGAAGAGGATAGATATTTGACCTTGAGCAATGCCAAGGCTTGGCCACGAGGAGTGAGTGGAGATTAGTGGGGAACGTGGCTGGGAAGCAGATAGCGGAGGGACCAGGTGGTTGCATGCTGTTGGGGCCAGAGCCATGGTGGTTGTAGAGCGGGACAGCGTCAGAGGACAGCAGGGTGACCTGACATTGGGCTGCTTGGCTTTCTGATCACACATTGTTTTTTATTGTTGTGCACTTTAGAGGCAGAACCAACCCATAGCTGACCCTGTGGTGGGTTTTCAGAGGCAGTTAAGCGCCCAGGAGGAGATTGCCCATTTTTCTACCGCAGAGCTTTTGGTGGATTTGAACCGCATGCCTTTTGGACTGCAGTGCAGTTTCTTGCCACTAGGCCACCAGAGCGCCCGTTTTTGATCACATAAGACTATTTTATTACCATTTTCCTTTTTAAACTTCAGTCACCTCAACTCATTGCTGTTGGTTGGAGCTGACTCATAAATGACACCTTAAATAAATAGTGGGGCTTTAAAATTTTTTTTATTATTAATTTTAATGAAAGTTTTCAGATACTTTGGATTTCCATTCATTCATTGTTGCACTTTAAAAGTAAAAGAAAAATTCTTTCATTGCTTTACAGTCCCCTCTCCCCAAGTCCACTCCACTATGCAGCCTTCGTTCTGGACTCATGTCATGACAATAATACATCATCATATATCTCTTTTAAACAGTTCTCTTCCTTGTCTGTTTCAATGCAGTATACAATGTTTATCCCATTTTTGTCATTCTCCCCGCCACCCCGATGTCAGTCCAATTTTACAACAGAGGCACTATGCAGTATTTGTCCTTTTGTGACCAAGGTATTTCACTCAGCATAATATCCTCCAGAGTCACCTGTTTTGTGTAATATTCCACGAGTTCCTTGTGTGAATATACCACACCTTTCTGAAGGCTGTAAATTGCATAGGAAAAGAGTGCCCATCTTTTTCTCTCAGAGCGCCAAGTAGATGAGAATGTTTAGAGAGATGTGAGTAGCCTTTCCCACCAGAACTCTCTAAATCTTCCTCATTGCTGTCAAGTCAGAACTTGACTCATAGTTTATGCCCAGAGGCCGTAACCTGCTGGGGATATGTCCATCTTTCTCCCACTGAAAGCTGGTGGATTTGAACTGACTGGGAGTTGCAGCACAACCTCTACGTCACCAGAGTGCCCTAAAATCGAATCATAGCATTCATGTGACACCAACTCTCACACGCTTGATTTTGATAAAATGCAAAATGCAAATTGAATATGGTTATGCATACAGAAAATCTTCCATCTTCAATGTCCCTGGAAAACAGTCCCTGAGCTTGTAAGGTGTTTGAGTCTTGGACTGCGGCCCCTTGGTTAACTCTACAGCAGAGGATCAGGAGGTTCAGTGGTGGTTCCAGAATTTTCACCTTCAAGTTCACGTCCCTCTGCCGTTGTCACACTTGCCCATCCAGCACTGTTAATGGTCAAGAGCTTCCACTTGCCTAAATATTTTGAGACGTTTGTAGTTCTTTCAGAGAAAATTTATCTCTTTACCTTCCTCTCCACCCTCCTTTTTTTAAAAAAAATCTGTGTCTAAGATTAGAATCTAGTCAGGTTATCAAAACAAAATTTAAAATGCATTATTATTTCACGTGATTTTTAGACTTTAGACTATGAACATTTGGACCATATAGGCAAATATTATTTGAGACCTTTACAGTTTTGGTTTTTTTTTCTTTTTTCTTAGAGATATTTCCAATTTTTGAATAGTTCTTTCAGAATGTATGTATTCCTGTAGTGTTAGAGTTGTGAATTTTTAAGTTTCATTCTTTTATGAAGAAAGGTTTCTTTTTTTAATTTCACAAAATTCTTTTTATTAATATATTTACTGTTGTTTAAAGTTTCTTTTGATGCAATGTTTCACATTTAGATATTTGAGTTTTCTCCATTTATTATTTTTCTGTTTTTTTTAAAAAATGTATATTTTAGCTATGTTTCCTGAGATCTTACATCTGCTTTGACCTTCTAGCATTTTTTTTAGCTTGACGTCCAGCTCCTTCCCACTAGGCCACCAGAGCTTCTTGACATTTCAGCATTTTAAAAAAACTTTATTTTACTAGTTTTAACGACCATTTACAGAGATTTTGGATTTCCATTCATGCATTGTTGCATTTTTTTCATCCTCACTTTTTCTTCTATGTGATTTATATCCTCTCAAAAACACACTGGAGGGTCAGCTATGAGTTCCACTTCGACAGCTGTGAAAGGGAGTTAGTGCCCTTGACTAGACTGTGACTTTTACTTTAAAATAATGAATACCATGTGGAGAATAAACTGTATGTAGGTGCATGGCTCATG